ATGAATTTTTTCGGTTTTTAAATGTATAATAAGACAAAAATATACTCGTCATTTTTCTGCATCCCCATGATGATAGTTTGTGTTACCCATTTATTGATATATATATATACGTAAGTATAATACTCGTTCGTGTAGAATCGAAAGCTACGAAGACGATCGGATATCGTTTTACTTTCGCCGAAAAGTTCGGGGAAGAGCTTTTTCTTTTTTTTTTTCGTTCCCTCGGTCGCGTTCCTTGCGTTAGCCGAACTTTTCCACACCCACCCCTTTCCCTAGCCTGTTCCACCCCTCGTCACCCCTTCAGGAACAAACTGTTGCTTAGATCGTTATCGCGTACGATACTACAGTACGAATTTGCCGTTCCCGGTAGTCGTAATTTGAAAGTATTGATAGAATTACAAGCGTACCTTGTAACATAACGAAAGAAAGGGGAAGGGGAAGGGGGTTTGTTTTCGTTCATTTTATTTCTCTTTCTATAACATTGTCCCCATTCCCTTTCCCCACTCTTTTTAATTCTCTCTGTCTCTGTCTTTATTCATTATTTTTTTGTTTATAAATAATACAAACACACCAAAGAAAGTGTGTTGTAGATTAACGTTTAACGTAATATGATGAACATCGAATGAAATCAATACAAATTACATGAATATCGATTGAGAAAAAAAAAAAGAAAAAAGGGAAAAGAACGAATGTGAGAAAATATTCTAAACGTGTGTGATTCACCCCTTAACGCGAGATTCGTGAACTCAAAGAATGATTAAATGTGTCCGTTGCTTGACTATTATATAGAACGACCTGTTTTTAACCCCTTTTTTTTTGCTTCTTCTTCTTTCCTTTCTGATATAGTAGAAAAGAACGAAAATGTATGCTAAGAGAATGAGATACGCAAACTACTCCCTCTCTATCTATCTCTCTTTCTCTTTCTTCATTTCAGAGATGATCGAAGATATCTCGAGTTGCAGGTAGAATGAAAAGGAAGATACATTTGTACGTATATAGATGCGAATGATTGTACACGCGTGCCTAACGATATCACAGTGAGACTGTGACACCATAAAAGAAAAGAAAGAATGAAAAAATAAAAGAAAGAGAGAGAGAGAGAGAGTAGAAACAGGAGAAGTAGAAGCAGTAAATGCAGGTATATACGTATAACGTAGGGACGTAGAAATAGGAGTAACACGTGAGAAGGGGCTGAAGAGGTGAACCTGGGGGGGGCGGAAGATGGAGGAGGTAGAACGGGGGAAGGTGGGTACCCTTCTAAACGTACATATATATACTTCACACACCCATGGAAGTTGGTTCTAAAGAGAGAGAGAGAGAGAGAGAGTGAGAGAGAAAAGGGAGCCCTTGGTCTCTGCCCTTCCCTGTCCATCGTCCGCACCCCTATACGTCCCTCATCGTCCACCCTTCACCCTGCTCGACCCCTTAGGAGCCATCAAACGCGTCCTTTCCCTCGGAGTTACCCGTCCCGTCCAGCAGCAACGGTGCTACGGACCCCACGATGAGAGAAGTACTACGACCGAGGATGAGGAAGAAGAGAAAGAGGAGGAGGAGGAGGAGGAGGAGGAGGTGGTGGTGGTGGGTAAAGGAGGATGAGGCAAAAAGGAGGGTTAGGAAAAGGGTGGGTGGGATTGAGAGGAAGAGAACGGTGTTCTGACAGTGACAGACCCTACCTTACCATCACCACCACCACTACCACCACCATCACCACCACCACCAACTTCGTCGTCGTCGTCTACGAAGGCAGTGTGGTGTACACGTTTCTACTCTGCTCTTCTCTGGTGCCGTTCATGATAGTAGAATAGTAGTAGTAGTAGTAGTAGAAGTAGTAGAAGTAGTAGTAGTAGTAGTGCCGCTTACGTCGATGGGGGAGGGTCGAGGGTCGTCGAGAGGTAGAGGGATGAGGAAGGGAAGTGGGGTGGTGAGAGGAACCCAGAGAGGAACGATGTTGGGCGCCGGGAGGAGGAGGAGGAGGAGGATTGGGTGGGAGGGCCTATGCGGGGAAAAGTGAGAGAGTTCGTTGAAGTGAGAGAGGTACCTAGCGTAGAGAGAGGATCGAAAGGGGTGAGAATGAAAGGGAGTGAGTGAGAGAATCAGAGAGAGAGAGAGAGAGAGAGAGAGAATGAGGGAAAGGGAATCTATGGGGAGCTTGGGTTGGGGGAGAGAAGGACGAGGGAGTCCTGAAAGGGCGCGGCGAGTAGGGAGGGGAGTATAGTTGGTGAACGAAAGAGTGAGAGAGAGAGAGAGAGAAAGAGGGAGATGAGTTGCCTCGTGGTTGGGTCAGAGGCGTCGGGAGATCGAGCGAGCACGCAAAAGAGTGAGAGAGAAAGAGAGATGGAGAGAGAGAGTGAGTTGGGAAAGAGGGAGACACAGATAGTATGAAAGTAGGAATGAAAGAGAGAGATAGAGGTATAGGGGAACGGGAGCGGCAGGACGGAGGGGCGGGGTAGGGGTGCGCGGTGGCGGTGGCGGCGACGAGAGAGTCAGAGGTGGAGGTGGAGGTGGAGGTGGTGAAGGAGTTTGAGGTTGTGGAGGTGGACGAGGATGGCGAGGTGCGGCACGGGGAACGGGAAATTCTCTTTCTCTCTATCTATCTCTCTCTCTCTCTCTTTCTCTAACCGTAAAGAGAGAGAGAGAGAGAGAGAGAGAGAGAATGAGAGGAGTAGCAGCAGGGGGGTGGGGGACGGTTCTGAAGAGAGGTAGAGAGGAGAGGGGGGTCGCCAGCGCGTCGCCAGTCGCCAGTTCGCCGTGAGCGCTCGTGATGTGAGGACGTTCTGTGATTTTAATCTTGTAAAGGGCGTACCGTACGTAAATTACTATTCGTCCCTTTCTCACCTCGAGTTTTTCCCTTTTTTTGTTTTAACGAAGATACTGGGAGAGAGAGAGAGAGAGAGAGAGAGAATAAAAGGGAAAAGAAACAGAATCGGAGATATATCATTTGTTATAGATAAAGAAAGATAGAAAGAAAGAAAGAAAGAAAGTAAGGGTGAAGGATAGGAAAAGAAAAAAAATATAAGGACAAGGAATACACGTATTTCTACCCTGATCTCTCTACCTTTTAACTTTGACACAGACACACGTTAGCACGCACCCCCCATACACCAGTTGTCATTTCTTATTTAATTCTGTATTTTCTTTCTCTCGAATTCTTTATGATATTTATCTAATTGTATTCTCGCGCGCGCGTTTCGGATTTTCTGACGAGAGGTGAAAATACACGCTGATAGAGAGAAAGAAAGAGAGAGAGAGAGAAACAGATATATAGAGTGAGAATAAAAAAAGAGAAAGAAGATTCCAAGAAGGCATAAAGCACAAGAGAGAGAAAAAGAAAGAGAGAGACACTCATAGAGCTTTCCCCAAAGGTGAAAGAAAGAAAGAAAGGGAGAAGTTATTTTTTCGTTTGATTAACGTGTGCATGTAACGAGAGGATCGGCCTTCGACGACGAGACGTAGAGTAACCTTGTTTTCTGCGTTCCAACCTACGCTCTTCTCGTGACACACACACACATACATACACACGTACACGCGTACAGAGAGACAGTAAGAGAAATACAATCGCGGAGTAACTCACAGCAGTAACTACTACTACTACTATTACTACTACTACTACTACTACTTGTTATAGACACGTTTCTCCTGCAACTTTGTGATCTTTAGAAAGGAGAAACATTACGGTAAGGCGAGAGAACTTACGCCACGACATTTTTACTCGTACGAGAAAACAAAATTATTCTTACCAACGAAGTAAATATTAAACACACATATATATATATATATATATATATATATATATATACGTGAGTGTGGAGTTCCGAAAGTGTTGAGAAAAGAAGAAGAAGAAGAAGAAAAAATATAGTACCCCATTAATCGGAATAAAAAAAGAAAGCAGAAAAAGTAGATGAAAATGACATAAAATATCTATAAAGCATCGCGCGTTGGAATTGTTTAGCGTTTGAAAGAGGAGACCAGCTGATCGTTGCTCGATCACGGATATATACACGTCGGTTCGGAGGGGGTTTGCACTTCGCGCCGGATAAGTTAAACCGCATCGTGTGTGTGCGTGCGCGGTTTGATTGTCGTCGTTGTCGTCGTCGTGTCGTCGTCCTACGTCGACCGCCTACTCCGTTTGACTCCTCTTTCATATGAGATAGAGAAATAATTAAAAAGAGTGTGAGAGAGAGAGAGAGAGAGAGAGAGAGAGAGAGAGAACATTTTTTTCGTATACTCTTCTGTAAAACTTTTAACGTAGTGGACAATGACGGATTTGAGTAGTAACAGCAACAAAAGTAGTAACAGCAATAGCAATAACACCAGACAGACAGATAGTGCGTAAGTGTTGTTAGTTCAGAGATAGATTAAAGAGAAAGAGGGTGAGAGAGAAGGAGAGAAAAGATAAATAGACGAAGAGAAAGAGAAAGAGAAAGAGAGAGAGAGACCAAAGCGACGAACTTTGCTACGTGGTATCAACGTCAGAGTAGTTTGTGCGTGAAAGGAGGAAGATCATGCGATGCATTAAACGTGTGAGATAGATACACACATACACACATATATATATATAAAGAAAGTAAGAAAGCAGAGAGGTAAAAACAGAGAGAGAGAGAGAGAGAAAGAGAGTAACTGGATATTGTAAGAAATATAAAAGAAAAAAATAATAATAATAAAAAGAAGAAGAAGAAGAAGAAGGAAAAAAACGATTCGGACTGGTCGTAGTTTTCCTCTGGTTTCGATCCGACCGAGGGGTGAATCGTCGTCGTCGTCGTTGTCGTCGTCGTCGTCGTCGTCGTCGTGGTTTTAAGTTGACACGGGTGGTGGGTTGTTCGTTCCTCCCTGTGAAAAAAAAAAGAAATAGGGGGAGAGAAAGAGAAACGAGGGAGAGATATATAGCAGTGAAGAGAGACGAAGGAAGACACTCGGCGAAGGGGAGAAGGTACGAGAGAGGAGTCCAAGAGAGGAGAGGAGAGGAGTGGAGAGGAGAGGAGAGGAGGCTGTGCACGGGAGAGAAAGAGAACGAGACCTTTTTTTACTCCGTTTGCTCGAACAGAAAAAGAGAGAAAGAGAGAGAGAGAGAGAGACACACCATATATATATATCTATATATATATATATATATATACACACGCGCGCACACATATTATATATATATACACACACGCACATTGAGTGATAGAGAAAGATAGAGAAGGTGGAGGAGGTTGTGGTGGTGGAGGAGGTGGAGGAGGAGAAGAAGAAGAAAAAGAAGGGGAGCCTGAGAGTGTGTTTTCCGTTTGGTGTGTGTGTGTGTATGTGTGTGTGTGTGGGTGTGTGTATGTGTGCTTGAGAGGGAGAGAAAGAGAGAAAGAGGGACGCATCACTTCTGAATATGTCCGCGAAGCGAAAGGCCACTGCCATCATGCAGCACCACAAGGTGAGTCTAATGGGGATCGGCATTGGAACCACGTGATCGACTTCTTTCTTTCTTTCATACTATATACATATTTTTGTATATATATATATATGAGTACTCGTACACGCGTTCTACGAACTAACCTACTCGAATTGCGATCGAATATAGTATTTTTCGATTACCCTTTAACACCCCACTTCACCCTACCCAACCCCACTCCACCCTTTCCTATCTAATCCCATCATTACTAGCACCCCTCTCTTCCTTGCACTACGCTCGCCCCACCTTTCCCTTATCTATCTCCTTGTTTTACCTCCCACCCTCGATCTTTGTGTTGTTTTGGATTGAAATAATTATCTTAACTTTGAGATAGTTTTTTTCTCCCTTTTTTTTTTTTTTTTTTATTGTCGTCTTATCTTTTGCAAATAACTTTATATTTGTATTTTTCTTTTTTTTCTTTTCATTTTTTATATTATTATTATCAATCGTTAACTAAAATATATATAAAAAATTGTCACAGGTACGATAATAGAAAGAATGTAAACGACGGAGGGGGAGGGGGAGGGGGAGGAAAAAAGGGGAGAAATGTTTTCTTTATTTTTTCTAAATATTCGCGCGTTAACAGAAAAACCTATGTTTTATGTGTTTTTTCTAACGGGTCAGGGGATGGAAGAGAGTCGGGGGGGAGGAGGGCGGGTCTTTTCTTTTTCTTTATTTTTGTTTTTCTTTTTTAAAAAGAACATTCTCTTTTTAGCATTCTCTCGTGTTTTTCTTTTGCGTAAAAAGAGAAATAGAAAGAGAACACCGACTCGTTACGAAACTCATTATTCCATGCCACCTTTTCTATTTTCTGGAGAGGAAAAGGGAAAGTAGTAGTAGTAGTAATAGTAATAGTAATAGTAGAGAGACAAATGGTATAGTAGTTTTAATTGAAAGAGTTGTTTAATCCGTACTCCTCGTGTCATCCCTCTTTCTCCACCTTTCCACATTCTGTTCTATGGGGAAACGCATTATTTTCTTTTTTTTTACTTTCTTTTGTTTATTTATTTATGTGAGAAAGAGAGAAAGAGAGAGAGAGAGAGAGAGAGAGAGAGAGAGAGAGAGAATTCGAGATCCGAAATGGTACGAAATTTGTCAAATAAAAAAGTTAATAATAATAATAAATAAAAATAAAAACAAGAATAGCAAAAGAAAATATATATTAAAAAATTGAAAATCATTCGATAAATTTTAGATTTACTGGGATCACACAATTCGAATATAAATATTTATATAATATTTTTCCCAACGATTAATAGAAATAATAATCGTAAAACGTTATAATTACGAGAAAACAGATTGGAATCGTCATCGGTGTGTTATCTGAGAATTCATTTTTTTCTCCTTGATCGTCGTAGAAGTCAGAGATTAGAATTAGATATATCACGTTTGTCGTTCAGGCATAATCCTATCCTAGAAAAAATCGCATATTTGATGTATGTAAGTGTTCGTTTGTTTCTGTGTGTATTTCGATTCAAACTATACGATCGAGTATACGTGTAATACACGTGAAAGTAATAGAAAATCAACTATTTGTTTTATTAGTTACTTTCTTTCTTTATACTTTTTTTTTTTATCTATTTCTTTTTTTTCTCTCATTTTTATTTATTTCTTTCTATTTCAATCTATTTGTTTGTTTGTCTGTCTGTCTTTGTATTCTATTTATCTATTTATCTATTTATCTATTTATCTATTTCTTTCTTTATCTTACTATATATCGGAATACGAAGCTTTTACGAGTTCTCTGTTTCTAATTAATGCGTTGTTATAATCGATACGTTTGACGGTCAAGATCGCGACTGTTATTAAATATACATAGATGCATATATACATAGATGCATGCATGCATGCATGCCTGCATGCTTATGTATTTTACAATATTTATATATATATATATATATATATACAAATAAAAAAAGTGATCACATACACATTCGTATTTTGTTTTTTTTGTAATATAAATCGATCGAGTATATTTCAATTTATAGAACGTTTACATTGTAGATTAAAAGAATGATGAAAAAAAATGATGGTCAATTATAATAAATAAAAAACAAGACCCAGAAAAAAAGAAAAATAAAAAAATGAATAATTAAATATTATGATTGTGATATGCAGTATATCTCCACGTATGTTTATTTTAAATGCATTTTATTTTTCAATTGTAAACATTTTGAATTAGAAATAGGAGAACTCGTAGAACATATTGAAACAACATATCTAATAAATATCTATTTTTCTATTATATATTATAATCTTTGTCTTATTTCTTATCTCTTTTTGTTTTCTATTTCTAATCATAGTCAAAGTCCAATTCATGGAAATGTTTGGTATTAAAATACAATGTTCACCACGTGTTCAACTTTTAGTCAGTTTACCGTGGCATTGACTAAAATTACGCTCGATTTCACGTATACGATTTCGTATTAGGGTTCGAGAAAAGGAAAGAAAAGAAAAGAAAAGAAAAGAAAAGAAAGAGAACGTCCCCTAGTTTTCCTATTCTTTATCCCCCTTTCCTTCCTTCCCCCCCCTTCTCATCCCCCTTAAAAGCCGATGAATTAGTCGGTCCATTTAACAGTTACCCAAACCTGACAATAATAAGAAATATTAATGTCTACGTTTTAAACGTGAAAAAAAAAAATAAATAAAGAAAAAATACAGCGTGGAGGGGGGGGGAGGGAGGGA